GGGGCGAGGGCGAGGAGGCCCAGGGCTCGGGTCTGCCCACCAGGCTCTGCAGAGGCTGTGACCTCCGTCGCCCGTCCCTCGGGCCAGCAGCCGTGCGGACGCTCAGCAGCCTCGGCCGCCCAGGGCCTGCCCAAGCCACCCTGGCCGCGGGGCCGCAGCCCTCCCTCCCCAGGCCCCTGGGCACTGCAGCACACGGAGGTGGGCTGGCCGGACAGAGTGGGCCGCGGGCGCTCCTGGGCCCCGACGTGCGCCCCAAGCCGGGGACTGCCACGGGGTGAGGGGAGCCCCAGGGCCCGGCCTAGGACGACGCAGGACACTGAAGGGTAGGCCGGGCGGCTGCAGACGGTGGCCGGTGGGGGCGCGTGTCCCGGGACACCCTGGGTGGGCAGCACTGACCTTCAGCGCGGCCTCGTCCAGGCCCTTCACCTCCTCGACGAGCTCCTTCAGCTCCTCGGCGCCCAGCAAGGAGAGGACAGACTGGCCCGATGGCGGGGGGCGGGGGCCCCGGGCGCCGGCCAGCACGGGCTCTGCCAGGCCCTCCGTATACTCCCGCAGCTCCGAGAGGCTGTGGGGAGGCCCCCAGCGGGCAGCGTTCACAGGAGTGGACACCGCAGGGCTGGCCCAGCGCTGACGTCAGCCACGGTGCCCTCCAGTGGCCAGAGGCTCCACCTGGCCCCACGTGGTTGGCCCTGGCACTGGCCCTCGCTCGTGGGTCAGCGGTGGGGACAGCCCCTCCCAGCAGCAGCCCGCTTGCCCACAGGTCAGGAGCCCTTAGCGCGGGGGAGCCTGGCAGCCACGCGGGGAAGATGACAACTCTGAGGCCGGCAGGCCGCCCACACTCACCTGAGCGAGAAGCCCGTGTCCAGGGAAGGGTTGTCTGCCGTGCTGGGGGCCCCTGGGTCCTCGCTGGCCGGCAAGGCCCCATGCGGGGGGCTGCCTGGGCTGAGGGCCCCTGAGGGGGCGGTGGGCAGGCCCAGCAGGGACCTCATGACAGCCGAGGACACCTGGCTGCTGATGGCGTGCAGCCCGCCAGCATCCTGGCCCGGCCCCCCACTGGCCGCCCGGCTGCCCACCAGGGGCAGGCTGTGCGCCCGCTGGCCAGGCAGCTTGGCCCGGGGCAGCGCACAGAACGGCCTCGAGGGGGGATCCGGGCCAGGGCCTCGGGCTGCCTGACCAAGCTGCCCCCCCGAGGGCGGGGGCCCCTCCACCTGGGGGACACCGGCCTCTGAGTCTGCGGGGGGCACTGGGGGCGGCGGCTCCTGTGCCGGCTGCTGTGGCTCAGGCTCGGGGGGTGCCCCTCGCCCTGAGAGAACCGGAGCCCAGACGGGCGGCTTGGTAGCCGCCCCCGGGGGGCTGGGGGGCTGGAGGCTGAGTCTCTGGGCGCACCTGTCGGGCAGCTGCGAGGCACCGAAGGTCTCGAAGGAGCTGACCCTCTGCCGGACGGAGGCGGCTGCCCGCGCAGGGGAGCCCGGGGTGGGCAGCCGCCAGGAGTCCGAAGTCCGACTCCTCAAGCCCTTCAAGCTTTGGCGAAACCAGGCTGGCTTGGGGGCCACGGGGGGGCCCTTCTTCACCGTGCTACCCTCTGCCGACTTGGGGAGGCTGGGGGCGCCCCCCAGGGCGTCCCGCAAGGCGGGGGCCCCCTCCCGTGCTTCGGACCCCTCTCCCAGGCTGGCGCTGGGCTGCGGGGGCGCCTGGCCGAGGCTCTCGCCCATGAGGGGGCTGAACAGGTGCTTGATGCAGTCGGAAATCCGGGCCCAGGGGTCCTCGGCGGCGGCGTCGGGGCCCTGGTCCGCGCGAGCCTGCCGCCGG